GTCAATTTTCAGATTGATCGACTGTGTAAATTCAGTACTGTTCAGTAGTTTTTCAGAAAATTCAGTATGTTGTAGATCTGTACACGTAAATAACAACTACTGAACATTTTGAACATAGACCGAAGAGATTGTAATGGACAACAAGCGAATGGTATACATTTATCTCAGTGAAACGGAACGAAAATTGCCAAAAACTGGAAATGATATAATAATTCAGTCTTTTAAAAGTTGTTGAGGTCAAATGGCCCATCCCAGATCAAAATTCGTTTACATGTGACGCCTTGAATCAGTCTGACTCTGCTTCAATTCTGAAAGAAAACCATGCTGATTTCTGATCTGATTTCACATCACACAAATAATCATTTTAAATTTAATCAAATGATTAAAAGTAGTTTCATCTAGTATATTGTTAAAGATACGAATATGAGAAAACAATTGAAATGATAAAATATCGTATGAAGATTTATAAAGATTGAAAGATAATTCTACGGGTAGTTCCATCGGGAAAAAAAAACGGACGATCTACTTACAACATGCGAAAATCGACGTTTTTCTAGCCCTCAGTGCTATTTAGTGATGACATCTCTGGCTTAATAATACCTAACTTGAGTATATGGTTTCAAACATTATCAGTTGCAACCTGTAAAACAGTTAATCTGAGACTTCATTTAATTTATGAACATATTGGGATACCTTAACACTTAATTCAAACTTACTTTGTAATGGTTCGCATCATTAAAAGGCGTTTAGAGAATTTCAGTTGTTCAAGGCTTGAATTTAAAAAAATAAAAAGTATTATCATTCACCGAAATTGGTGCATGTTCCTTCAACCTAAACATTAATTATCATGTTTCTCAGGTTCAAGGTGCAGCTTGATCCTAAATATGAACTTCGAAAATTGAATTCGGATATAACTGTTTTTTCTGGAGGGTAGGCTTTCCTTCGGTGTTTGGCACAAACGCAGTGCAGAGGCCAAACACTTCAACTAAAATGAGTAAACCCGCGGGCGTATATTTACTGATCGTGTTTATTATTTAATTAAAATGAACTGTACTATTGAAATACTCTTATGAAACGAATACTTCCGGTTGCAGGTCCAGGTGAGGCCACAAATCGGGAAAAATTCGGAAAATTCCGGGTTTTTGGTGAAAATGACCTTCTTTAGCCTGCTGTTCCCAGATCAGTTTCACTCCGACCTAAGCACTGCAGTATTTAATGTGTTCATTTGGGTCCACTTTACATGTAGACTACAGTGGGATACTTCTATTAGTATCCCCTCAGTCTTCCAGATCAAGACAAAGGACAAAAAATCGTCAAAATTGACGCTTTTCGCACCGGAAGACAAACTTTTGGGTTGTTTTTAAAAGACAGAAACTGTTAACAGTTGAAAACTATCAGCATGCTATGCATAATAAAAAGACATAATAAGAATTGTCTAAAATAATACACTGAATAATACACCACACCAACCATCAACATCAGAAACCTTTGGAAAAAAACCCGGACAAAAACAATGAGCAAAAAATTGTTCAGATAGAAATGTAATGCCTGCAACGATATTTTCCTTTTTCAGTGAACATTGCAATTGGGTCGAATCAGTAATTTGACATATCCTTTTTAAAAGTTCACATAATAGTCCATATTCGTACAAAGTTTCAAGTTGAAATCACTTAAACTTCATCATATACTACGTTGAACAAAAATTTTAACCTTATACGGGACGACCGAACAACAAACGGACGAACAGACACTTAGGCCTAAACACATAAATCCCCTCTCCTTTCGTTGGCGAGTAACAAAAACAAGAACAAGTTAAGAAGTGCAAAAATTCAACGCTCCTAATTTGAGTTATTATCTGTAAGATTTCAACTGATAAAAATTATATCTGAATTAAACTGTGTCTGTTTTGTGTAAAAGATGGCTGCCACTGTTAACTTTGATTTTAATGTTGCATATTTTATGAGGGCCTATTTTATTTTGCTCAAATCAAAGTTATTAAACTTTCATCTTTTGCATATAACACTCAGTTTTTTTCTTAAAACGTTCAATATATATAATCCATCCATCTATTTAACTTTCGGAATTGATTGAACAAACGTTATTGAATTTGTTATAAAGTTGAAAACTGGGATTCTGGGTTCTCAACATACCATTTTGTATAAGAATAACAGTTCCTGGCTTTGAAGCTGAATTTTTAGCTTATGTGGCCAAAAGTCATTTTGATTTGGCTATCGCTTAGTGTCTGACCTCGTTTGCCAATATATCCGGTGTCACTTTTCTTCTATATGACCTCTGTACAGAATAATGGAAATGGTCGCTCATTGTTATTGCTTTAGTGTCAACAAACATAGCATCAATGGCTTTTTATTTTTATCTGATTTGCTTACCTTAAAAACCTTAAGAATGGAACGACTGAACCAGTTGAAACCAACGTTCTGCTTGTCATTCCAGTTCTTTTAAAAGCCAAGACCGTTGGATGATATGTAATGGTTCATATCAATATGCTTTGGTCTGTTCCGATATTGCCGTCAGACGCAGAGCAAACTCGGACTATCTTCGATCTAAATGGTAGTAATACTTATGAACAATCACATCTCCTTCACTATCTTTTAACAGATAATTTTTATGTTCCTGTCAAATTTGGAATAATTTTGTTGCGTTTGAAATTCAAAGTGGCTTACAGATGAGACTAAAAAGTAACATACGTAGACGTTGTGTACTGTGCGTAAATGAAACAGTAACCTAACGACAAAACTAAACAACACCGAGAGGACAAAGACGGTGTTCTAAAACTGTCAGCTAAATTGTACTAATACCACCCAGTTTTCTACATCATGAATTGAAGATTACAATTGTTTAAAAAAACCAAAAAAAAGCAGGGAATCTACTTTTGCATAGCAGGATCATACAAAATATTCTAAGTTGCATATAAGTATAATGAACCATCTTTGACGAGTTGCAATGACATGGTCATGATGGTATAGGAACTTCACAGGACATTACTCTCACTAGCAAACATTCATTGGATTTGAAAATGGTCATAACATGCACATAAACATATACAGATTTAACATTGTATAAATTTTCATGTAGATATGATAAACTTATGTAGGGGGAGTTGCGATGACATGGTCAGTTCTGTCAAAATAATTTCTAAGTTAAAAATGGCGCAACTAACGAAAAACACAATGGACCGGTACATCCTACCCTCGTCATGCTCGTGCACGTCTACATATAATAATCAAACATTGTAAAAAGTTTCATGTATACTATAAACCATATGCCAGGAGTTGGGATGACAGGGGCATAATTCTTGATAAACTAAACAGATGATGTTTGGAAATCATTATATAATTATTCTACAATGCATGTAATAAATCAAACAGAACAGACAGGCCGATTCCTATTACCCCTCGCCAACTTTGTTTTGTGGGGTATAATAAGCGACAATTTCTATTAAACTTTGATATCATTCTGTACAGAGAGAGAAAAAATGACAACTGAAATATTGGTAGACGATGATACACATGTTAGACATTGTCAGACACCAAGAAAAGCAATATCTAAGATTAAAATGGCGTTTGACCACATAAGCTGAATAATTCAGTTTGGAACCATTATTCTGAATCTGATACAAAAACGTCATGTGGATAATTCAGAAACCTGCATTAAAACCGAAAGATACTTACATATAAATTTGAGCTAAAGATGAAAATAAAAAAAAAAAACAATAATAAAAGTCCGAAAGATAATAGTCCAAATTATTTGGCTGCTTTTCGTCCGGTCATATTTGCTTCATTGTTTACGTGGGTTTTTTTTCCTAAAAAAAGAATTTGGGTGTTGGTGGTTGATGTGATGTGCTTTGCAGTATATTAGTCTTTACAATTCCTATTATCCTTTTCCAATTATGCATACCAAGCTGAGTATGTTTAACTGTGAACAATTCTGTCTTTTCCATTCGCTTGATGTGTTTGATCTTTTGATATTGTCATTTGATAAGTTCTGTATTTTTGTTATTTTACTTTTTACATCTTTCTGAAATGAAACATTTGTCAGTACATGTTTTGTTGTGCTTGAAAGTAGGTATCACATATATTGGATTACGTGTCGAGTTTGGTTTTGTCCCGGTTTACAATAAGTTGAATGAACTCCACAATATTTACTTGCTGCCGATTGGAATATTGTAATCGTATCGGAACACCTAGTTTTTTTTTGTATACATTTTTTTAGGTATTTATAATTGATCAAAATAGCCTTTAAAATAGAACATGAATATGCCATTTTTTTAAATTTTTTTCAGCACACACTAGTTTTCTCTTTTGAAGTGTTATCACATTGATCCCGGAGACTTTTGTAGCTAACAATACGGTATTTGTTTTACTTATCATCAAGGCACGTCCTATTCCCAATACAAAGCCTTAGTGGCCGAGTGATCTTAGTATTTTATCTATTTTATCATTAGTCTGTCAACACTGAGGTTGTGAGTTCGATCCCCGCACGTGGTAGGTCTTTTTATCTTTAATCTTACTTGATTAGGATGGCCAGATTTTCTTACCGAAGATATCATAGAAAATATCTACAGATTGAAATTGTTGAAGAGATAGTTTCCCATCACTACTTATTAAGCTTAATGAAGGCTAATGAGTGGTTCGTTTTGAATCGGCTTATGATTCTCAGAAAAATTGTATATACTTTCTATAAAAACAAAACCTTTTTTACTTTCCAAATAACAATAACATTCACATTTTTTGGCGGAATTACTATTCCCGCTAGATCTGTGTGATGATGGTCTTGCATAAAAGAGTATGATGGCGGCATACATAAGAAGTGTGATAGTTGTTTACTATTTTAGATCTCAAATGTCTTTACAAAATACACAATGCAACTATGTAGAGATATTTAAAAAAAAAAACATGCTGGACATTATAACAAGTTGTGGAAAAAATATACACCTTATACAAACCTTATGTTTTCTTATAATTCATTGTCTCTTTTTTCAGTTAAACCAATAATAACTCCTTTCTCTCCTGACACCTTGAGAACAGAAGAAACAAAATATTTTGATGTATCATGTCAATCTACTGGAAGTCGCCCTGCTGCTTTAATCTCCTGGTTACTAGGGCAAGAAGGAACTAATGTTACATCAAACTCTACATCCCAATCTAACCAAGAATCATCAACAGATATATATATACTGTGACATCTAATTTAAGATACAGAGTGCACAGAAGATATAATGGACAGAAGCTAATATGTATAGCTATTAATGTTGCTGGCTACATGGAAACATCTGTAACATTAAATGTTAAATGTTAGTGCAACTACATGTACACTGCTAATCCATTATATATGATACAAGTGATATATCAGCTGTTATCAAATAATATTCGTTCCTTCCGAATAAATTGAACAGATAATAAGAAAAAAATATTACAGAATAGTTTCAATATTGCTAGGCAATCAATATGTATTAAAATGACTACATGTTTCATTCAGTCTTACCAATTTAAATAGAGCTTTATAGTTTTTCGTGATACAGAGAAGTACATGTTTAATACATGTATATATGTATGCATTTTTGTAAGGTACTAAGGAGTTTTATAATTTCCCTCGAGTTGTGGTGAAATGCTATTTGAACTGACTTGAAGTGGGTTTTTTCAATATCAAGTTGGAATCCCATACCAAAAAATTATCAACATCAATATCTGCTGTCTTATTATAAGACATGCTTCTTGAACATGTTGTATGGATAAAATGTATTGTATAAGATCTGGGTAAAGCTGTTGCTGTTGTTATCATGATACACTAATATCAGTTGCTGCAAAGCAAATCGTGGGAATCAATATTATTTTATATAGAAAGAATGTATACTTCTACAACTTTGTTTGTTTTAAAATGAAATTGATTTCGATAAAGTGTTTAGATGACATTGGGTGTAAAATCTTAATATTTGATTGTCCATAAAATATATAAATCATTTGCTTAGAAGTTTTAAACTAAAACATCTTTTACATTGATGAACTTTCTATTAGATGGATTGAAGTTGATTTTTTAATCGAATTTATGCTTGTCATATTCATCCTTTGATCATGTAAATGAAAATAGCACTTTACAAGTTCAATCTTTCTAAAAAAAAGTATAGAGTGCGTCGCAGTATCAACATGAGGCATACTTTTTGATCGGGTCTTTAATACCCATGCTGTAATTTTTATTCCTTATATTCTCTTCCATTTTTAATATCTTCTCCTGTCCGGGACATGTTCCTAATTATATATTTCATTCTAACCGATTGAACCGTAGTTACACCACAAGTCAACTAATAAGAACCGATATCTTGAAGTGATAGTTTCAAGATGGTGTGGATATCTACTGAAACTAATTACTTCGCACCGTATTGCGAAGCATTCAGTTTGGTGCGTCCGAAGCACTTATCTGGGTTTATCTTCTTTAGGAAAGCGTAAACCTAACAAAAATGGAGGAGCTGTATGACCAAAAAGGGGATTTAAAGAGAAAAGCCTAATCCAACTAAGGTCAACTTGAAACAATAAATGAAATGATGAATCCAGTTAAGAGGAGCCAGAAATGCACTCTGAGTACATTTACATGTAAAGTTTAAAACACTATTTGTGTTTTTGTTATCAATAAATTTATTTGAATTCAACTCCATATAATTTAATTTTAACGATTAGATTAGCTCGTGACATATATAAAACAAAAATTGCCACTATAAAAAGATTTGCATTGTCTTAATTGTATAAATAGCTAAATTATAAATATTTCTAACAGATGCACCTGGTGTTACAGAAGAAAATGAAACTTTATCACAGACCCAGTCACCCAGACAGATACATAGTACTTTAGACAGTAATCCTCCAGTACATACTTGTAAAGGGCAGCACCGATCAAATTATGGGGAACATATTAGAGAGTTTAGTGACAATAACCAGATATTACCATTACTTCAGTAGTTGAGGATAAAAGATATCTAGACACTGGCGAATATGTTTGCACAGCTGAAAATGGTATAGAAGGAATAAATGGACAACTGAAACAGACAGGATCTGGATATGTCATTGGTAACGGTAAGGTATATTTAATACAGAGGACTACAACCATTTATGTGTGTTGATTTATTCTTCATTTTAGTCATAAATGGTTTAACAGATTATTGCTACATAAAATAATAATAATATTTAAAGATAAGCCAGTTTATAGCAGTTTATGCACACTCTAACATGAAGTCTTTGGTATCGTATACGTAGCATTTTCAATGGCATAAAACGTTTTTCATTAAAAAAAAACTTACAAATAAAAGTACGACTTTCTCCTATACTAATACATAATATATTTTTGTTTATATTTTTATGCAAATAAGAAATCTGTTTTTGCGTTTGAAATATTGGACAATTTTGACTTCGATACATCTATATATTCACATATATCTGTTGTTGAGATCTTTAAGTCTTGTTTATTTTCACTGTATTTTGTTTTTGTACACGAACAAAGGCAGATGAAGTTGTTTCTTTAAAACTGCTTGTTTTTTTTTTTTTTTGCTTTAGTATAAAATACTGTTATTCAGCAAAAACACTTGAAATATTTATTTAAAAATAGTTCGATATTTACAAAGTGCATATACTAGTCCTTTTACATTTAGTTATAGCCTCTTATAGCCTGGCCATCATTGTTTACTATCACTTAACTTCCAATTTACCCACTACAAATTTGGCATTTAACATGACTGAAATATAATGTTAGGGAAATCGGTTTCTATGTGTTTAGCTCAACCAGTGATATCAGCTGACAACAAAGACTGTTCTACACAGTATGGAAAGTTTGGTATAAGTACTGAACTAAAAGTAAATGTGTACAGTATGCCAAAGTATTCCAATAAAAGTTGGTATATAGGTAATTTACATCTAGTTTCAAACAAGTATGTCACCAAGGAAGAATCTACCATAGTTAAAGATGTGTTTCGTGGCATAGAAGTACAGCTGGATGGTTACAGAGTTACGCTGACTATAAGTGATCTACAGGAGGTTGATTTTACCAATTACACCTTACGTCTTCATTATGGTAAACAGTATGTAGAGCATGAAGTGACTCTGGAATCTGCAAGTAAGTAACGATTATTTTGCGTAGTATTTCATTAAACAACTTGACGTGACGTTTTATTTTTACAAAAATATGCATTTCCTTCATTTTTAGCTCATCTCGCCTGAAAGGCCAAGTAAGTTTTATTCATCACTTGGCGTCCGTCATCGTTAACTTTAACACAAATCTTCTCCTCTGAAATTTACCAAAACTTGGCCACAATCATTATTAGGGTATCCAGTTTTTAATATGTGTCCGATGACCCAACTTGCCAACAAACAAGTCTGACATGGCTAAAAATAGAACATAGGGGTAAAATGCAAGTTTGGTCTATTATCTTGAAAACTTCTATTAATAGAGAAAATCTGAAAGAGGCAGAAATGTTCAAAATGATGAGATTTATCTATTGTTTATTTACTTCAAAACTGACAAACGAATTCTTATAGGAGTTATTGCCCTTAAATGATGAATTTTACCGATTGTTTTTATTTTTGCCTAATATCTGAAAAGCTACTATAAATAGAGAGAAACTTTATATACCAAAATGATCAGCAAGACAAGATCTAAAAATGAGTCTAATGGTGGAAATCGTCAGACGATTCCTTATTCGAGTTATTGCCCTTTAATGGCGATTTATTTGCGTTATTGCTGATATCTGAAATACTATAATAGATAGATAAAAATTTAAATATTAAGCAAACATTATCACCAAGACAAGATCTTCAAATAAGTAAATACTCTCGAAATTGTCTGACAACCCCTTATTGGAGTGATTGCCCTTAGATAACGATTTTTACAATCTATTTTGCGTTTTTGTCTAATATCTGAAAAGCAATAATAGATATAATCATAAATAAGCAAAAGTGATCAGCCAGACTTGATTTACAAGTAAGTCAGATAGCTGAAATCATCAGTCGACTCCTTTGTATGAGTTTTTGCTCATTTTGACGATGTTTACCATTATTATACGTGTTTGGCTTCTATCTTGAAAACTATAAAAGATAGATAGACACTTTAAAAAGCAAACGTGATCATCAAGACAAGATTTACAAATATGTTTAAAATTGCAAAAATCGTTGCTTTACACTTTATAGGAGTGATTGACTTAAATGATAATTTTGTACCGCTCTTTGTGTTTTGGGCTTAAACTAAAGAAAATGTAGAGAAACTGTAAACAGAAAAATTTATCAACAAAAAATTAAGGTTTTTGTCATGAATTCTATTCTAGTCCACAATGTTGGAGATGCTCATAAACCTAGGTAATCGACACAGGCTTTTTAGAGACTCTAGTTTATTCAATCCATTATAAGTACATGACGTATTACCGTTTTTAAAAATCGTTATTTTTTGGGGTAAAACTTGAATTCATTTTATAAAATAAGCTAAGAATTCAATCAATTTAAGAGTGTCCTTGACAAACTTATTAATTTAGATCAGACTGGTTTTATTAGTGGGAGGTACATAGGAGAAAATATAAGGCTTTTATATGATATCATGCAATACACGGAAGATTATGAAATACCTGGGCTCTTGTTGTTAATTGATTTTGAAAAAGCTTTTGATTCTATTTCTTGGGATTTCTGGCTAAATGTTTTAAAGTTCTTTAATTTTGGAGAATCAATTATCAACTGGATAAAAGCATTTTATAATAGTATCAAGTCTACAGTTATACAGGGGGTAACCTTTCAGATTTGTTTAACATAGGTCGGGGCTGCCGACAAGCCGACACGCTCTCACCTTATCTTTTCATCCTATGTGCTGAGATTCTTGCACTAAAGATAAGAGGAAATACGGAAATTTATGGTCTTGAAGTTATCAAGCTGAGCATAAGTTGTCACAGTTTGCTGATGACACCTCATTGATTTTAGATGGTAGTGAAAAATCTTTATATGAATCCTTATCTGAATTGGACTGGTTTGCAAAAATATCTGGTTTAGAATAAACATTTTGCAAAAACACAAGTTATTTGGATTGGAAGTAAAAAGTATAGCAAGGTAATTTTATGCCCTGAAGAAAACCTTTCATGGGGAGAGACAAATTTTAAATTACTTGGTATAAATTTTGACGTGGACTTAGAAAATAATGTCAACATCAACTATAATGATAAAATTATACAGATTAAGAACATAATAAACAGTGGCTAAAAAGAAACCTTACAGTAATAGGTAGAATAACTGTGATAAAAACTCTTGTTTTACCTATTTTAAACCACCTTATTATTTCTTTGCCTAATCCTTCTGACAGTGTATTCTAAAAAATTAATGAATTTTTTATACATTTGTATGGAACTCTCCTATCCAAAGAGTGAAGAAGGACGTAATGATTAAAGAATATTTGGAGGGTGGATTAAAAATGATAGATCTTTATAGTTTTACTATGGCACTCAAATCATCATGGATAAGATGGATTTTTCAGAAAGATAATAAGTGGCAAAGTATTCTGATGTCTGATATTGAAAAAAAATTTAACTGTGGTGTTCAGTATATCAAACAAGTTAGTTTATTTATCAAAAACAGTTTTTGGAAAGATGTATTCAGAGCATAGGAAATGTTACGAATCAATGTAAATTTTTTGAATAACATGAGTGTTATTTCTGCTATTAAAAAAGCAGCAAATAATTACAAAAAAGATACATATAAGTTATGTTGTCCATTTATTCCAGCTTGCTTACAAGTCTTTTTTCAAAGTAGAAAAGGTTATAAAGATATGTATAAAATACTCATTAATAACATGTAACTCCAACAGGACAACTGAAGTGGGGTGAAAAATTAGGCGAAGATCTCATTTGGAAACATATATTCAAACAACCTTTTACATTCACTGTCAATACCAAACTACAGTGGCTTCAGTACAGAATCAACCACATCATTCTTGCCACAAATAAATTGATAACTTATTGATAACTTTTTATGTACTTTTTGTAAATTAGAAGATGAAACTGTTGAACATATTCTGTGGAATTGTGAGATTATCCAAACTTTTTTTACAAGATATTGATTATTGGTTTCTATCTGGTGGGGTAAGCCTGCCATTGAATAAGTTAAATTTAATTTTTGGAGATATATCAAAAGTTCGAAAAGGTGACCCATATAATTTGACTTTTCTATACATGAAACAATATATATACAACAGTAGATGTTTTTCAAAAGATCTTTTACTTAGTGCCATTAAAGAAAAGCTCAAATATATGTACAATTTAGAAAAAATAATGGCAGTCAAAAATAAAAGAAAAGAGCACTTTGATACCATGTGGAATGCATTTAAAGAATTATTTTGATAATTTAATTTGTCATTTATTTTTTACAAATACTTATTGTCAAAACAAACATAATATATTAGTTTATCTAATAGCACAATTTATTATGTACTGAAATCTTACAGGATATTTTTTACCTCTTCCTTTTTCATATAATACTTTACCCTTCTCGTGTGGTACATAACATTTAACTCAAACTATCTTTTCTTTCCGTAATTATATTCTCTTTCCATATATATATATATATAAATATAAACGAATTTACAACAATGTTTATTGTTATAAATAAAAAAGATATTCAAATTTATTTCTAATATTACTGTATGTATGTTTTGATGTGTTGTATTTGTTGTAATTCTTGAAAATGATAAAAAAATTTAAAAAAAAAGAATTCAATCAACATGTTAATAAGAAAAAAAATATCGGAAAAAAAAATTTAATTTCAGATGCACCAGAAATTCCATCATATTTTACTATAACCGGTTTAAGCGAAACCAGTTTTACAGTTCAGTGGATTCCTGGATATAATGGTGGACATACACAAACTTTCTACGTAGAATATCGTACTAGTGGAACTAATAAATGGACGCACCAGGAAATTAAAACCGATAAGCAATAAGACACCACACCCAACCCTTACACTTTGTCAGGACTTCAAGATATAACATCATATGAATTGAGAATGTATGCAAAAAATAAATTTAACCAGAGCCAACATACAGATATTGAAACAACAAGAACTCTACAGTCAGGTCTGGATGAAATATAACCTGTTTTTGCAAAAGCTAATAAAATAATACATTATTCTGCAGTCTAATTATATTTAGTTTGCATACACTGTAAATGTGAAATTATTCAAAACACTATATATTCAATATTTCAATTCCCAAAAAGTTTACCAGATGTTTTTCTTTTATTATGACTTGTGAGTGAAAAATAAAAATAAAACACCAATTATTTTATCAAATTCATTATAATTATCTGCACTTGATTATAAAAGGATTTTTTCTGAAAATTTTAAAAACAATTTTCGACATTTATTTGTTTGGTAGTATAATCTTTTAATTTCAAGTTTCAGATGTTTCTGTTGTATATCGAATGATACTTAGTAAAATATTTCTAAACCAAAACTTATATTTTTGCACCATGCCCAGAAGGGATGCTCAGAAAAATACACCCGATTTATCTTAATCATGTTAACAGTAATCGTGTATGTTGCCAATTGGGAGTTTACTTTTCAATTTTCCATCTTTAATATGTTTTAGGAAGAAAAATCCTGTTTTCTGTTTAATAGACTGAAATACCAGAAAACGTCGTTATCGCACATTTCAACTTTTAAAAAATGATGTGAATGTTTGTTCATTTATTGCTACAATAAAGGGACATTATGCGAGAAGAATTTGATAATAAAAATGTTTCATTACAATTTAAAAAAAAAGCCAAATTTATCCTCTTTGTGTGTATGATTTTTTAAAATAAAAAAATGCAACCTTATTGATTCATGCTGTATTGGAAGTCGTACTTGGATCTATGGATGTCCATTTTTTGTGTTACATGTCCCTTATGATTCGTGCTCTCGTCGTGCCAGTTTTTTTTATACATACCTTTACTACATATGTATATCAAATGACCAAATATTCCAATTTTCCATAAGGGAACAGCCACGAACTTTATAATGTGGGTGGAGGGGGCGGGGGGGAAGAGGGGGTTTATATTTTTCCTGATTCTCAATTATTTCAGACAAAAGAGAGAAAAAAACATCGTTGTGAATAGTAATATAAATATTCTGCTTTCCTAGGTTCCCCGTTTTATAAGGTTAATATTATGATAAATTACTTACAAAGTGACTTGTATTTTTCATACACGGTAACAATTTATTTGTTCCTTGCTTAATGCGTTTTTAGTAATATTTTTATTGTAACTGGACAGTGATTTTTATAGTTTCTATCTAGGTTAAAATGTGAGTTTTATTTCAAAATATAAATCAGCCGTAGGGTGTGTTTAAACGTAAACGAATAAGAAAAGAATATCCAACTTAAAATGATCGGTAAAATAGAATACATTTCCTTCTTTTTTTGCAGAAAATAATATTCTAGGTATGTAAGTCAGATAATGCATATTTTAAGGTTTTTATTGTCGTATAACACACCTTGTGGTATCAGGATTGTGCGGCTTTATAAGAATCTCTAGTTACACTAGCAAATAAAAAATCCAAGCGCAATGAATCCTGCCTACTAAAAAAATCGAATGGGCGTCCCCTAATGTCTAAGTAAGAACTTCTTGCATTAATTATATGTGACCTGTTGCAAGGCAATCTTTAGTCCAAAATTACAGTGTCATTATTAGTTCCCCAAGATTCCATTCTTGTCTATCTGTTTTTTTAATGTAATCGTTCCATGATTATCAATACAATATTTGGAACTGAAAATTAAGTGTTACGGATTTCTTGGACTAATTCTGTAAACAGATTTGCTCATTTATTCAGTTGCTTTGTCGTGAGATTCTAAAGTATTTGTTACACCAATGTAAGAAAACAAACTAAACGTTCAAAGGTATTTGTACCAACATCATCAAATGGTATACCCAGTAGAGAGATATAGATGGATAAAAATCGTAAATAGTCATATGCGTCTGATTAACGTGAAAACTTGAATCATAATATATTTAAGATAGTCATATTTTCATCGTCCAATTTATTTACACAAATGTTAGTTCCTCGTAAATAGCTGGTAAAAGATTAAAACCAATATATTTCAAGACACCCTTGTGTACTTTCCTTTATCTCACGGTATAGCACAAGAATAAAAGAAAACTAGCATAGAATCGGAGAATATAGAGTTATACTATATAATATGAAATTTTTGAACATGGTTCCCTTGGTGGTGAGGCTCAGTGATACGGGATAAACATTGACATTGTTTGGATTATTACTTAATAGTTATAGGTTAATAAAAAGAAAATTAAGATTAAGATTTATTTTGTATTACTTTTATTATAAATAGTTTTCAACTCTTTTTGACGTGATCATATTGGTAAGTGTGTGTTTTCTTTCTTTTTAATTATATCATGTGTAATAATACATTGATTACCTCGTCTACTTTTTATTTTGTTTTTTGTTTAAAATAACATTAGATGCATTACTAATGAAATCAAGTTAATCGTCAAGATTCATCTATTTTTCTCATGGTGGTTCCATTTTGATTACATTTTTATATGGAGTAAATTGATATGACTTGTCTGTGTATATTGCAGAACTAGTAAAACCTATGAATCACTTGGAACCAAAGACGCTGTTGAAGTGTATGATGATTTAGATAATCATAAAGGTGTGTAATAGAATATTACTATAGAACACATTACACGTACATGTATATCTGGTGGGTAAAATAATTGTAGAAGAATGTAAGCTTTATTGAGTGAGTTGCTGAATACAAATCATTCCGGTAAGACAAACAACAACAACAAATATCAAACAATTAATAAAGAAAGAAAGAAGAAAAATTGGCTTTGCAGTAAATTACTTATTGTTTGTTTACTTAAATCGGGTTTAATTTAAAAACAGTATACATTTAGTATCCGGTGAATGTCATAAATTCTTCTTGATAATGCTTACATATAGATACCAAAAGGATATGCAATGTATTGATATATTAGAGTAGCATACTTTTCGCTGTTATTCATCTTTAATTATTAATTCTTCAAACATGAACTAAATTTACCACACGTTACACACACGATCAAGCTGACCTATTATACTTATACCTCCATATTAACTGCATCAGATACCTGTTTAAAACAAATCCGGTATGTGCATTACAAATTGCATAACAGAAAATGTGTTATTAAAACAATCACAATTGATATTTTTATATCTTGTAGGCCTGCCATCGTCTAAATCGTAAGTTTTTATATGATGAATAATATATACGTTCACATGCATATCCTTTAATCGGCCGTTTCTTGTAAAACTACAGAAGTACAAATTAAATAAGGAGATATTTAGATACAATCAAATTATGTTTGATGATATATCTTTCGTCTGTAATAAACTACGAGTAATTACAACCTACGCTGATTGTCGCAGTTCTTATATTTGATCACTTCTGAAAAGCAATAAAACAAACCAATTACGCTTGAGAGAATAAAATTGCCCTCACATAACAGCAAAATCGTCATAGACATACCTTGCCTCATGGAGTGTCACCCTTAGTTTTAGATAAACTCCATAATTTATAAACCTGGAAATAAAAGTAAAAAAAGTATCTGCAATGCATGCAAGAACCGTGTCACTTTGGAGCTTTTAAACCAAAAAAATATCTAAACAGAATAAAACCCTTCTAACGTAGTTTTTGAAAAAATCCATGAATAACGATAAAAAAACATTTCATGAAATGTGAATTAACAGTCAAAATGTATCATGTAAATCAAACCAGTTCATAATTGATAGCTCTAATCTTACCTTATCGTTTACAATCGGTTATTTTACGAAACATCGGTTGTGCGCACTATAATCGATATCAGAAGTTTAAAGTGCATTATAATACATGTAAGTACAAAACCATCATAGTAATAATGTGAATTTAACAAATTGTTACTCCTTTTGGGAAAATCTGAAGAAATAAATGGCTTCTAAATGAAACGGATTTGTTTTAAACTTCTGATATCGATTATATTGCGCACAACCGATGTTTCGTAAAATAACCGATAATAGAAATGCTCGAGACCAATTACTGTGGAAAGATGTGTGCAGTAACTATAGTGCATCTGTTTTTAACATTCTCCTTTTTATTTGTATTAGTTCTGTGGACCATAATGAAGCACTGAGTGCTCAAGATATACCAAATTTGTATGAGAAATTAGAAAATGAGAAAGGTAGTTATTCTTAAGAAATAAAAAAAAAATAATGTACGATGTTACAATTTCAAACCATCTTTCTTTTATTTATTAAGAATCTCTCTTGTTACAAACTAAACTTCTTTAGTATTCAAATTGATAACTTAAAATACACCTGTAACGTAAATCTTTTGTTCAAACTTTCCATTATTTTTCAGGAATGGAGAGTTATTTTCTATTGTTCATCTTCATTCATCTTGACGTTTTGCCCTTTTGATATTTCCATGGGCACTTTCTAAAACAGTGTTTACCCATGGAAATAATTCTAAATGACGTAACGCGATATTGAATGAAGATTAAACTTGTAAAACGGCTGATACTGGATTTTTTTTAAATAGGGATCGTAGTAATACAATGAACATAAAATATCTCATTATTAATAAACAGCTTGTATTTGCGAGTTGTAATTCCATCGTATAATAATGCACATTATTATTTACAATAAAAATGCAGTCAAATTCCGTTTTGCTTTGCAGCATAGATACAAAAAAAAACACTTATTTTCAGTTAAGGTTGATTTAAAGTTAAATTCTTTACAAAGTACCACAGTTCCTGCAATTGAATGTACTCTTCTCGCAACTTTTAACGTGGTCCTAAGTTGCATATTTTAAATCATTTCGCCCCTATGCTACATACCCTGATTTGTACTCGTCTGGCAGTCAAAATTTAAGTACTTCGCAGTACTTACCTAATTGGTTTATCATTCAATTTGTCCTCGTCCTGAATATGTTTTATCGTCAATTAATCGGGAGCTGCCGAATTGCTTTGAAATTCTTTATCATATGAGAATAGATCGGTAAAAATTTGCCTTAACAACTTCATAATAATCAACTTCATGTTACTTAATTACATATTAAAACTATTTGTTAGTGGCTTCGAACTAGCTGTCAGTAACTGCGAGTACTCTCAGATCTGTACTTAGTGTCTTTTTGTTGTTTGGATGTACAAGTACCCGGCCACGTCCACTTTGTAGTATTTGTAGTATTTGTATTTTTATTCATCTGATGAGTTAAGCCTCTTTCAACTGATTTTTATAGTTCGTTCTTATGTTGTACTGTTAAACCACTGTCCCAGGTTAGGTGGAGGGTTGGGATCCCGCTAACATGTTGAACCCCGCCACATTCTGTATGTATGTGCCTGTCCCAAGTAAGGAGCCTGTAATCCAGTGGTTGTCGTTTGTTTATGTGTTACAAATTTGTTTTTCGTTCATTTTTTGTACATAAATTAGGCCGTTAGTTTTCTCGTTTGAATTGTTTTACATTGTCATTTCGGGGCCTTTTATAGCTGACTGTGCGGTATGGGCTTTGCTCATTGTTGAAGGCCGTACGGTGACCTATAGTTGTTAATTTCTGTGTCATTTGGTCTCTTGTGAAGAGTTGTCTCATTGGCAATCATACCACATCTTCTTTTTTATATTAACTGCAATAATTAGTTCAACATAGCAGAAAATACAAATTGAACATCTCTTCACCAGCAGAGTGGTACATTGTATCATGATTTACCATTGTACTTTTAAAGTCGCCAATGATAAAAAAAAAAACAACATGTAATTATACTTACATAATAATAAGCATTCTGAATATTTTGTATTTAAAACTACACAATTCACTGACGTAAAGGAATATAATAACTTTAAAATGCATTGGTGGTTGTTTATGGTTGAAGTAGCCTGCTGAACTGTGCTATATGTTTGTCCATACCTATTATCTCATGTTATGTACTATTATAGACTGGTATTTTACTAATCAAGTTTAGCGTGTTGATAGAAAGTTGAAAACAGGAAATGGAAATCTCGAAATATTAACCATGTACACTGTCATGCAATTTCCACTTAATTTTTTGAAAGACGCATGTTTAAATGCATATTTTTGTAATTTGCTTTCCTGCTAAGTATATCAATAAAAAATACATACACAATTTCTCAGAATATGCAATATATTTCCACCATATTTAATGACGAAAATGTCATGCGGTGTAAACGACAATTAGATAGGAACCAAATAACCATAATTTCTGTGGAAAAGTCGTATATAAAGTGAACCAGAAATCTAGAACATTTCAAGGATGTGCAATTTATACAAGCGCCCTTATCAAGCAACAGTCAACAAAATGCACGGGTCAAGACAATTCATGAATGAATTAAACAAAGATGACCAAATACCTACACAAACACTTTACTAGACAAACACGTTTGAATCCTTCGTGTGACCGCTGTTTGTTTTTAAGCATTTGCTTTTATGGTTATGATGAGCATGTCATTTATCTACCGACCTGACGAGAGCACAAGTTTTTTTTTATAATATAGTTTTTTCAAGATCGAGTAAAAGTATATTTACGGTTCCTATAAATTTACTGGTTCTTGAATGCATTCGAGTTCATTGTGAGCGAAGGAAAAAGTAAAATAACAAAAGTATCGATCTCCAAAGAAAATTCAAAACGGAAAGTCCTTTAGCAAATGGCAAAATCAAAAGCTCAAACACATCAAAAGAATGGAAAACAACTGTCATATTTCTGACTTGGTACAGGCATTTCCTTATATATAAAAGGATGGATGAAACATGGTTTTATGAAAGATAGAAAGATAGGTGCCGTGAGTAAGATCCAATTAAGTATAAACCGGTCCATGTGCTCCAGTGATAGTAAATATCTATTGTACGAAATCGTGTAGGTCACTGTTATGTCATCGCGGCATAAGAGCAAATTTATTTTACATCTGTTAATCGAGTAAGAAAGATGATGCAATAGCAGCAGCCTTTGGATTGATAAAAAAAAATGTATCCGTACAATGACACTGCTACGCAACTGTCAGTCAATTTACCTGGTACTTAAAAATGTCGCCGTACATGGAGCCCGACTGAATCTCAGGACCCAAAGACACGATACTCGTAACTTGTGTGTGTTTTAATTTACATAGTTCGGCCGACCGACGGAAAACCATAAAATTACTAGAAAAAAAATAGTAAGTACGAGCTCGAGATTTCGACTAAAGTATATCTTTTAAAGGTTAGAGCTTTAGGACCGGAAATAAACCCAGTGAAACATCCTGTATTATGACCTGCATGGAGTCCTAAAAATGATAATGACTCTGTATAAAATTTACTGAAGTTTATCAGTGAGTCTTCATCAGTAGTTTCGTTAATAGCTGAATGAAATCTTTCAGACTTAGTCTAATGTCTGGCTAATTGCCATCCCCGATTTGTTTTTTTAGTACACTTTTATATTGGTCCGGGCATCAGCAACAATTGTTAGAGGTTAGATAAATTACTTCATGAGAGATTGCAGTGACGGGCTAGGTTGTCAGACATATAAAATTCTGATTCTGTAGTTGACTAAATGAAAGGAGGAATCGTGAAAATGGCAATGCTACTAAATACTTTACTTATATCTGATCTTAATAAAAATGATGGTGAATTTTAAAGTTTTCAGAAGAATAATCAATCTCATTAGTATTGGTTTCTTTAGCACATGGTTAGAGCCTAAATTAAATAGGCAAAAGAAGGCCCTGTGGACAGGGTCTGCATGACTTTGTATAAAGTAAGAAAGGTATTAAAATTATTATTCTTTTGGATTTAGTGCTTTAGACTGAATTGCAATGTTTTCTATAAGCTAAGAGTTCCTCAAGTACATTTATGTAAGTGTTTTAAAATACATTTTACATTGTTTTACTTTTAACGTTTCTTTGTACAATATACAATGTATTTAATATATGATTTATTGATTGAAGGCATGCAAGACTAGCGGTGAAATTTTACCTTGCATGAGGTCACTTTTGGACTGCTGAAATCACCTCGTAGGTCTTGTGGTATTGTGCTTGACTGGAGGGCGTGAAGTCGTATTTTGACCCCAGTCTGGTCAAATCAAAGGCTTAAACATTTTTATTTGCTGCATTTCCGGTAATCACGTTCCATTCAGAATTACTAGTACAATCAATGACTGATCGGTTCGGAGTCTAAATAATATGTCCTGATATTGATTATCGTGGTTGTTGCTCGTCATAATTGGTTTT